GAGGAATCTCTCCTTATAAGAGGAAATCAAAAGAAAATGATCTTTTCTTGATGACCAACCTTATCATACTGTTTGGTTACTGTCAATATTACATTCTTTAATACAAGAAATGTAGATTTTGTCAGTAAAAGTCATGTCTTGTTTAATCCTATATCATGTTAAAATTTCTAGCTAGCGTCATTCATCTATCGGTTTGTTTTACTGAAGGCATCAGGCACTATGTATCAGCTAAGTTTTTTTTAACTTATATGCTATCAAAAAGACGTTCATTATTCTGATCCCGACCGTTGTTACTACCTTGACGTGGTGGTCGGGCTTGCCTATCGTGATGACCCAACTGAGCTATACTGGCTGGAACAACCGTTCCTCAAAGTCCTATCATGCCAGACAGGTCGGTTGAAGAGCGGTAAGACTAAAAGCAACAAACCCAAGGTCTGAAGGCGAAGTCGTACTGCTCACTGTACAGAGGTGTGACAGCAGTAAGGTGTTTCCCTCGAACAACCAGCATCTGCAGCGATACTGCCTTCTCACAAGAAAGGAAGAGGTTAGAAAAGGTTGACCCTAAAAATGTCACACCTCACCTTACCCCACGGATTTCCGTCTCCGGCGGTAATGCCTTTTGAAGAACGGAGCTAACACATTAAAAACCTCCTACGAAAAGGCCGTGCGCAACCGGCCTCAAGCAGCTATCCCTTGGGCTCTGCGGTCACATTCCCAAGTCTTTAAGATCAACACTAATCCGATTTCCTTGGGCACTGTGGTCACGCTCTCAGGTCACTAAGACCACCTCTAATCCAATTTCCTTTTCAGGTACCTCCAGCAGAACCCTTACACGGTGTGGGCAACCGGGAAGTGATAACCGCCCTCATACCTCTGACAGCACTCAAGACCACTGTATTCATAATCAACCTCCCTCTTCAATTCCTCTTATCCCTCCTACATCGACTTTCAAATCTAAACTTCCTCTTCTGGTTTCCTCCTCAAGTATCACCATAGCCAATGATTCTAGTGCGCAAAACACTGTCCCAGGTCCACTGAAACCTCGCTCCAAACTACACATTGGAGCCTTCAACGTATGCACACTATGTCAAATCGGTCAGCAGGCTTCCTTGGCTAAAACCTTAGAATCTCGTACAATTGATGTATGCTGTGTCTCCGAAACACGCATACAGGATCCTAGTGTGGTCATTCACTTGACCTCACCTCGGCAAAACGGAGAGCCGACGAGATACACCCTCCGTGTATCTGGCGACCCGATGGATAGTTCTCGTGGACTGGCAGGCGTAGGCATAGCACTAAGCATGAGGGCGGAATGAGCGCTCTTAGAGTGGATCCCTGTTAATAGTCGTCTATGCGCTGTTCGGCTAAACGGCTCCGTAAGAACTCGAAAGGTTAAGGACACACGTCGTTGCCTTTTCGTCGTTTCTGCCTACGTTCCCATTGACTGCAGCTTGGATGAAGTGAAAGATGAATTTTACAGAAAGCTGTCTGAACTTCTTCAGAAAGCTAAACGTTCAGACATAGTACTCGTAGGAGGTGACTTTAATGCCCAAGTAGGTAGCTTAAACGAAACAGAAAGACATTTAGGTGGGTATTTTAGTATTCCGGCACAGCGAACAGATAATGGTGATCGTCTGCTGCAACTGTGCTCAGACAATCGTTTAATTTTAGCAAACGCAAATTTTAAGCATAAGGAGAGACATCATTTAACATGGCGACCCCCTACACTAAACCAACGATGGACTCAAGTAGACCATATTGCCATCAGTCATCGTTGACTCCGACCATGCCCTAATACGAGCACGCATCTGCTTGCGCCTCACTGGACGCAAAAAAGCCACATTAAAACGACCCATTAGAACTGAAATGAGTAACGAGAAAACCAAACGTAGGTTCCAGAAACAACTGAGGTCACACTTAGGTAGTTCTGAAAACGAGACTGACCCAGATGTTGCTTGGAAAGATATACAAGCAGCTGTGGAAACAGCAGTGACATCAATTAGTAATTTAACCCACAGGGTTATAAAGAACCAATGGATTTCTCCAAGGTCTATTACACTGATGGATTCTCGTAAACTCATCCCATCAGGTTCTGAACACGATGAAGAGCGTAAACAAATCAGATCTAGGTTAAGCAAAAGTCTAAGGAACGACCGTGAGCAGTGGTTGGCAACGAAAGCAAAAGAGATGGAAAAGGCGGCTGCTATAGGGAACACAAGACAACTCTACAGACTAATAAAAGAAACTGGAATTAATAAGTCAAGTGCAAGTCAGACTATTTCGGAAAAAAACAACACTCTCATCTGCTCCCAGTCCAGACGTTTAGAACGATGGGTGGAACATTTTAGAGAACAGTTCAGCTACTCTACAACTACCCTCCATTCCCAGAGTGTGAATGGGACAATGAAGTAGGTCCTCCGACTCTAGCTGAAGTTCAGAGGGCTATAGTTAGTCTGAAACGAGGAAGCACAGCTGGTCCAGATGGATTGGCCCCAGAGGTCTTTAAGGATGGTGGTCTAGTTTTAGCGATTAGGTTGACTAATATTTTAGCTAAAATCTGGGAGTTAGACGTTATCCCATCTGACTGGGCACAATCACTTATCGTCCCAATATTTAAGAAAGGGTCAAAATCATCCTGTAACAACCATAGAGGGATTAGTTTAACTAATATAGTATCTAAAATACTAGCCTCGATAATTATAGGACGCCTAACTAAGACCCGTGAACTGCAAACACGAGAGAATCAAGCTGGCTTCAGACCTAGTTGTGGATGCATAGACTACATATTCACCATTCGTCAGGTTCTAGAACACAGGCATACTTATCGGCGTCCGACAAAGGTGGTCTTAATTGACTTAAAAGTAGCATTTGACTCTGTTGATCGAGAGGTTCTGTGGCAGTGTCTGTCATTGAAAGGCGTACCTCAGAAGTACATAAACCTTGTGAAGGCTCTTTACTCGAACACTACTAGTCGAGTAAGAGCTTATGGCGATCTGTCATCTGCTTTTGCAACCTCAACTGGTGTCCGTCAAGGCTGTCCACTTTCTCCATTTTTGTTCAACTTCATCATAGATCTACTGATGGAAATAACGCTCTCATCAACTGAATTCTCGAACATTGATTTCCTACCAGGAGGTCCACTTTTCGACTTAGAATACGCAGATGATATGGTCCTGTTTGGTGAAGACGCTGATAAAATGCAGAGTCTTTTGGTATCATTGAGCAACAATGCCAGAATATTTGGGATGCGTTTCTCTCCCTCTAAATGCAAGTTGTTGCTTCAGGACTGGTCTGCGCCAACACCTGAACTAAGGATAGGGAGTGAAGTAGTCGAACGCGTTGACAACTTCACTTATCTTGGATGTCTGTGTTGGGGTATTCAGAAAATACCCCAGAAATTATCTAATGCTATTCCTGAATGAGAAGTAGTGTCATTTCCCCATTGGTCAACATTCTTCCAACGTGTCATCTCCTTATTGGTCAATATTTATTTGTGTCACTTCCTGAAGGTTAAATCTTGTACAAATGTTACTTTCTATTTTATGGTACGATGTAGTTTGTTTGATTGCTATATAAACAGAGTATGTTTGAAATATAATGATTCATATCTCCGAGGCTGAGACTTGTGTTCTGGACTCAATTGGCTGGGCTAGACAGGGAAGCAGGACCAATCAGAGCTCTAGGCTGCTCGGTCGTATTTTGTGCGTCACTGTTTCGATCGATAATAGGCTGCTCTCTAATAGGCGGATCACACGTTATAACAGTCTGATCAGCCCTAATGGGTTGGTGTCTGACGAAATCTCAGCACGGATTCGAAGAGCTCGTTTGGTTTTCGCCAACTTACATCACCTATGGAGTAGGCGAGATATTCCTTTATCAATCGAGGGTCGAGTATACTGCGTGGCAGTTCGTTCCGTTCTACTATACGGCTGCGAAACATGGCCTGTAAGAGTATAAAATACTCGTAAGTTACTAGTATTTTACCACAGATGCCTTAGAAATATTGCTCGAATCTGCTGGGATCACCGGGTAAGTAATAGTGAGGTTAGCCGCACGGTATTAGGGAACGATGGTAAATAAGTTGATGAGGTTATGAATCTTCATCGACTGAGATGGTTGGGCCACGTGTTGTGTATGCATGAACATCGATTACCACGACGCGCAATGGTAACCGGTGTTAGGGATAATTGGAAGTTAGGGGCGGCCAAACCAAAACGTGGCATCAGTGCTTGAAGACACTAACTTCTGGTCTGAGCCATGTCGGTAGATGCAGACTGCCTGGTTGGGGTCCGCGTGACTGTCGTAACCAATGGTTGGAGACTCTTGGTGACATGGCTCAGAATCGATCACAATGGCGTCGGTGTATACACTCTCTGTCTTCCTTCAAACTAAGAGATTAAAATCACTTCATATCTCTCTTCCTACGAACTAATTCTTTCTTCCTGTACTATCTCCTTATATGCAATCTTTCTTCTATATATTACCACCACTGAATTAACTACTTCTATGAATCCAGTGTTCATCTGGCTGTGCTGATGTAGTATGGCAGCTTGGACCGATGCATATATGTGCCTGGTCCTACGTTGCAGCTGACTGACTGACTTATTATACTGATGTTATAAGTCATAGGTATGGATATGCATATATTCATCAGAAACGAAATTATCTTCTAACAACAATTATAAATAAATAGGCTTCATTTCATGCAAAAAATGTATCACTCGATAATTATGTGCTAATTTTACTTGCAAACTTTTATATTTCGTAATTATTGATCCATCTAGCTTTAGTTGTTTAACGTTAACCCCTTTACTAAAGCAGCTTGTACATACAAACAGTAATATCAGGCCATATAAACAAGTGTGACCTATGGCCCTATACGTGGTTGGTAGGCTTTCGTTTGAAAAGATGAAGTAGCTTAGAGTTAAGATGACAAAGCAGGCGGTTGTATAATAAAAGTAGCCTATTTGTTAAATATTAAGTTAATCAAAGATAGTTACTTGACACTCTTCATGCCATCCAGGAATAGAAGATACGTCTTTAGTTGACACTTCAACAGCTTTCAATTGATCTTGTAAATGATCCCAAACATGACTTACATTTGTAGCATTGAACCAATTATGGTTTATAGATATACAATCAGTCTGTATATGCATAAAAACAAAAAGTCAACTACACTTTATCAGCTGTTGCATAAGGATGATTACAAAGAATAAATACAAAAAAATGAAACAGAACTACGAAAGTACTTCGATATGGCAATATACTTATTCACTATGTACGAAAAGTAGAGTTGTGTATGAAGATAACACAGAAAAACAACTAACCATATGACTTGATTTTGTTAAAATAAATAATTCATGATAAACATCAGGACCTTCGATTAAACGTACTGTTTGAAAATACAAAGCGCACTACGCAACACTACAGTCAAAGTATGTAAAGTACATTATGAAACGAAACAGTTATCTCTCTTGTCTTAAACTATATCCAAATGTACACTAATTCTGAAGTAATGTTCTGCATTGATGAAGTGGAAAATAGAGTTCGAAAACATCCTAAATATGCTCGTAAAATTGCGCACTTTGTAAGGTTTCGATTGATTGAAAAATTAGATTGTTCTACTGTCCTATCTTACAATTGACTTTATAGGGCGTTCATTCAAAAATCTCCGAACATTTAACAGAAAATTACTATTTTTGTTTATTAATTTAGTCGTTACACAGAAAGCATATATTTAAAATGAAAATAATGGATGAGATAATTCACTAGCAAGTATGTATTAAGAATTATAGACCCTTCAAGGTGGCTCTAATATAATAGCTATCAAGAGGAAATATCTATTATTACCATATTTACAACCTGATGATACCATCCGGAAGGTACGAAAACGGTCTGTCCAGAATATTGGTCGACTAAATAATACTTCACATCTGTCCTGTCTTTTATAATGGAGCGTATATCAAAAGGAATTTGTCCGTTGGATGATAAGAGCTTTCTTTCTTCACCTTATGCAGAAGAAAAACAATAAAACGTGAAAACCTATGTACAGTTATGAACTGAATTGAATCATTATCACAAAATTTGAAATATAAGTTAACAGGAGTAGACAAAAACAAAGTCCGTAAGATTAGAATCGGATTCAAAACATATTGCTACGTGTCTACAAACACCGATTTCCTTTTAACTACGATTTATATTCTCAAGGATTTCTACATATCAAACGAGTTTGATCTAAATAATTCAAACGGGAAACTATTAGACATTTATTTAACCTCTTTTCGTAAATTTGTGAACGCATGACTTCAAAATAAGCGGTGTCAAAACCCTCCTGACCTGTATAGAATGCAAAAAAAATATTAGTCATCGGAAGTAATCAAACTCACATCTACTCAGTATACACTCAGAATTGTACCATTCAACTAACCATCTAAGATCTCAACAGAACCAAGAATATGCCCGGTATATAGTATATGTTGATATCCATTTCGGAAACATTATATGGATTATATATTCGTATTTAAAGATTAAAAATTCATGAGATTTTTAACAGGTACATTAGTTTGGTACATAAACAGTGACGTTTTTAACTAGACGAAAAGTTTATTTTAAGAGACCAACCAGGAGGAAAAATCCACCAGCGCTTGTGGCCGAGTATATTGGCAGACCAACTGAAAGAACGGTACACATCAGCGTGAAAAGGTGTCCACGTTCCACGACTCCCTAAATATACAAATTTGAAGTCATCAGAGAGATCATTTCGTAGGCTCCAAAATTCATTTAACCAATCAGAAGAAAAATATTCAGGTAACGTGAACCAACTGTTTTCCGAACTTTTTTTAAAGTAATGCCAATCTTTCAAATACAAAATGCGATCATCTTTTCCTTGAGCTTTACCAGTCCAGTACGAAATAAATTCTTCAACAGTGACTTCACGAACCGGATGTGTGTTGAATTCGATTACAGAACAATCAGAAACACATAATTTCTCGTCTGAAAATATCACACTGATTATGATCTACCTGAAACATTTTCGAATACTTTTTTTAAGTCAATCAGTCCATCGGGGGAACGCCATGAAAAACATACTGGCCAGTTTTTAGTAATCCAAGAGTCGAAAATACATAGTTGGTTTTTCATAAGATAGCTAAACAAGATAATAATAATAATCAAGATAATACTACTTGAAATAGAAATCTGGATATTTGACATCTTCACTCAGATATGTTGCTACCAAAGTATTCACCTGTTACAATACCCAAAAAATCAACAATGAGCACATGACATGGAAAGGATCAATAATTTCACAATAAATAAGGTATAAGATATATTTCATAAAAGCTTTATTTGCATAAAACAAGAAAATGTAACACATACAAAGAAAGATTATAAATTTCGATAGTAATAAAGTACTGCAAGAAAAGCATTTGTGGAATCATGACATTGCAACTTTGAGAAATAAATTCCGAGATCTTAGTTCACATCACTTTTCAATTCGTCGCAATTTGGAACTCGGTTCTAAAGAATCTACGCCCTGACTGATAGACGAATGTAATGGGAGATCAGTAGAATAATGCTTTTTGACAAACATAGTTGGAAAAACCAACAAAATGCAGGTCACATTATCACCTGACATACGAAGAACAGCTTCACTAACCAAATGCGCGCATACTGAGTCCAGGTGCCGTTGACACAAAATCTGAGAATAATCAGTACACTACAATTTTTTGAGAAAAAAAAGTTACAATGAAGCATCCTGAAACAATAATAACAGCATTTGTAAATAACTAAAGAATTGGGATGTAGCTCAGGCAGCGTAACTAAAATAATAACTTATTCACTAAGAAAATAGATTCTCAATAGCAACCCTCCATGTTCAAACTCTGCTCCATCTACTTCAGTTTAAGGGGTCAGGTAGTATCACTAGCCCTCAGGCATGACGCAAAGGTTATTTCACAAACTCACACTTGATAAATAGGCTACATTAAATCCAGTTGAGACAAACTTTTCTTAAATGACTGCCATATTTACTGAAGTGTACAAAATATAGAAAAGTCAATTTTATTGTATCAGTCACAAATAAAATTTGTAAACGCGCTTGAGCAATGTAGCTTTTTTGAACGCTTCTGGGTCTCACCCTCGGACTTTATTACGTTTAATATCTTCACATCATGAAATAGCATTTCATCTTGACATAAACAAGAAACATTGTGATTACATATGATGTGCGATAAACTCAACAAATGAGTATTCGTGACTAGCTGAAATCTGAAACACTGAAGAATATAAACCATTGTGCTTAAAATAATACAGACTAAAACGTCTGTTGGTGTGTCACCTTAATAAACGTTTGCAAGAAGTGATAGACATTTTTTGGAGACAAAAACACTAACATTTAATGCCGTAACTAAACAAGATACATATGATTGTAATCATAAATCAAAAGCGACTTGACTTACTTGACCATTTTGTGACTTTCTATGTTCATTTTCATAGTTTTTAATCTCTTGCATCAAAAGTTCATGAGTGAGATGAACAGCTTCATTCGGAGGGAAACTTTTCCATAGACCATCACAAGCTATTAACAGAAATCTAAAAAATTATTTGTAAAAAAGACATTAAGGATTTTGAACATAAATTACTCACAACTTAAGAATAAAATTAGTTTCTACAAATTTTCACCTGATCGATGATAACATATCGACTTAAGTCTTCCAAACAGTATGAAACATTGTAAAAGCCCATGGATGAGATTTCCCACGTTTCTCCGTAGAAAAACAATATTGGACGGACAAGAAACAATGTATTATGATTAACAATAACAAGGCCATGTATGTGGCAAGTGACATGGAAGAGTAATCTCCAGAAAAGTGTTGAATGAATGAAATAATAATTATGATTATCAATTTGTGTAAGCGATACACCAAATAAGGTATAGGATGTTACGAAGGATTGATATGCGAAATGGGAACAAAAAACAAACTGAGATATTTTAAATACGCTACAATGTAATCGAAAAGAATTTCAAATCAACTACGAACTGAAGTAAACTGTACTCAATTGAATTATTAAGATATCTTACAATCAAGAGCAATATTTTTACACACAAAAATTCGAAAATGATATTATACTAGGAGCGTTAGTATGAAGAGTTGATTATGACATCCAACCGTTTCTAGATTCGAATCGTTGACACTAAAGACATGACAAGAAGTGTGAACTCACTGATTCTTCGGCTTTAATTTCCAAATAAGATTAATCGCCAATTAATTAAAAACTTAATCGTATTACATTAGTTGAATATTCTGTATATAAGTAATGGATCTAGCTCCCTAATAATATTCTCAAGTCAGGTAACCGGTGGTTATCTCTTCTGATAACCATTTAGTTGGTATTTAGGGAATCAGCATCTCGAAAAATTATTAACCTAAACTTTTTGACTAAACTAATGTACATCATTGAACCAATTGAACTGACACAAAAAACTAAAAAAAATCCAGTTTAAGTTATGGGAATTCACAACAGATTGATCACTGGGTTGTGACTTACGTCATGCATGTTATAGCCTTGTTAATGCAAACCGAATTCTGTCGATCAAGTTGTAATATGGCTATTGGTCTAGACAACTCTACATCGCATGAACTATATTGAGGTGCAAGATGGTGGTTGGAGGTAGTCGATTAGAATATCTCAAATTAGAACTTCAATGATCTTCTTCGACTTATAACAGAATACAATTATGTTGCCTGTGTCTGCTTAAAAGCAGATACTTTGTGCAAAGATTAGCAGTTTCATACACCTTAATATGTTATCCCATTTTACTTACTGACAATAAAATAATGTTCGCACTTCCGAACATGTGACAACGAATTTTCGGTTGAGAGGCGAAATGGATTTAGACAGTGCAACAGATCTCCATTTAATTGTTATTTGGAGTGTCACTGACGTTTTCAAATTCTTCAAAATTATCAATAAAAAGATGCAATTTCTCTTAGGTTTGGCGAAGCAGTAGTAATTGAAAAATGGAAACCAGATTTGTGTCCAGAACGAGACAGTGTAGTGAGCGAGAACGCAAGTGGGGACAATCGAACGTATTTAAATACAAAATTACAGAACATCTTAGTAAAATCTGAGAACCATACAGTAAATACTCAATTTTCAAGATGTTAATCAACTGTTTCAAACTTGACTCTCCCCTTTGTAAATGTCAATTAATCGTCTCAGACTTCACTGTTCTTTTATTTCGACAGCAATTATTCATTGTTCTCGTTTTCTTTTCTTTAATCTTATTAACCTTCTATCGATATCAGTAACACACACCACCACGGTAACTAATTTACCATTACCTTGGTAGGTTCATGATTATGACTTATATCAACTACAACTGCTGTTAGTGCTACCATCATTATTATTTCTATCATTATTTTTTATGTCTAGTTTGTTACACAATCTTTGCTAAACCAGCAGTTATTTCATATATGTTAAAACCATCTTTTCATTCGTCTGTTTTTTCCCACATTCAGTTCTCCAAACTTATGGGAATTTTACAAACCTTGTATAGTTATTAGGCAACCCAACCCATCAATGTCTAACTCTAGACAATTACTACCTCATTGCTTTATCTTTTGAATTTGTTGTTAAGTAGTCTGGAGCTCAAGCAAACCCTTCAAATAGTTTATAATCGACAAACAGTTAATCAGTTTCGTAAAAGGAACCAATTGTATAAATAAAATAATGATATATTGTTGATATACCAATCAGTAAAATCTGAATTTTTAACAAATAACTGGATTGAAACTGGCATGTTTAAATAAAAATGAGTCTGATTATGTCAGCGTCATGTCTTTTCGGTTAAGATGAATTTGTGTGAAACATCATTTTGTAAAGTTGTGTACACGATGAGTATGAAAAGTGTGAAATTTGTTATACGAAAAAGAATTGTAATTTGTGTGTATCAGAAATGAATAGAATCAAACGTAGCTGTCCGGATAAACAGTCAGTCAGTCAGAAACAACATGGAACTTCGTACGTACGTACATCAGTTCGAGTTGCCATACCACATTAGCACAGAGATTAAGTTATTGATCCAAATCCCGTAGTGGTATTTTATTTTATTTTTTATTTTAACATATAGATATTGGTACAAGGAGGCACCAAATGCATATCCGCCACACGAATCTCAATTGATTTGTGTGAGGGCTGTGATACTGCTCGGGTGCCCAAACCGAAGCAGGTGGTTTTCTTAGGGGGGCACACCCCGAGCCTTCGAAATGAACGTCTGACCCACAAGGCAGTGGAGCATCGTAAGGAGATGCAGTCCCATGGTAGCCGGTGACAAACGATTGGTTCACACGCCATTTGTTCCTTCAGGATACTGGGGCCCATGTGCACCATTGGTTTGGGGTCCGGTTAAAGCGCAGGACATTCGCTTTTCGTCCTCTTATTTTCGTAAACAACACCCCCGCCACGAGAATGCAGTGAGTAGGACTTCTCTGGCAGAGGCTATATACGCGTGGCCATGTGAGAGCATTTCGAAAGGGAGAGCGGACTCTCCCCACTCTCGGCCATACCAGGGCATTTGGGGGCGATACTGACAACCCCAGATTCTATATGAAAGCTATAGTCAGAACAAGACAAATCGGCTTTAAACTTTATCTGTTTCTAAACATAAAATCACAATTTGATCAGTACAATAATCAAAAGAGCTATAGTCATTAAGTGGAACGCACGAACATACCGACCAGTATTGCTTGTCTTATCGAAATGAATAAAAAGGATAATAATCCTTTCCAGTTTTCAGGTCACATGCAACAAGGATAGTCTACAGATACATCAGACCAGACTGAGGTTGTGGGCGCCTAAGTAATGATTTGATTGGTTAGTTTGAAGCGTCTGATGCTACTACAATGGGTAAAGATGGATCGTAATGGGTGAGCAACAACAGATCCGAGACTAGTATTTTCTTGGTTTCGTCGAAAGCAGCTTGGCAATTTGCAAACCAATCCCATTTTACATTCTTCGCCAGGTTATTTAAGGGGGTACGTGGTTGGTGAATGTTAGGAATAAAAGCTCAATAATGACTAACTAGTCCCAAAAAGGATCGTAGTGTGGGGACGTCCGTCCGTCTACGCATAGTTTTCACTGGATGGGTATTCTCTGGATCCGGTCTTCTGCCATCCTTGTCGATTATAAATCCGAAGTAGCGTACCTTTCACATACAAAAGTTACATTTCTCTGGATGGAGCCGAAGTCCATATTCGACTATTCATGACAGCACCTGGTCGAGCTTATTTTCTAAGTCTATTCTATCTACTCCCATAATTATTATATCATCCAGATAAGCTGCAGCACCTGGAATATCCTGTAGCATAGTATCCATTACTTGCTGAAACATGGATGGGACGTCTTAAATCCGAATGGCAGTCGATTATACCGGAATAGGCCCTTGTGTGTGTTTATGGTGAGCAGATCTTTACACTCATCAGCAACAGGAATTTGTAAATAAGCTTCCGATAAATCCAACTTTTCAAAGAGCTTACCTCCATTCAGTTTAGCAAAAAGATCTTCGGGTAGGGGTAATGGATACTGATGAGTTTCTAGGGCTTCATTTAACCCTGTTGAGTAATCAGAACATAAACGGACGCTACCATTAGTTTTTTTACTACCACTATCGTGCAGCCCATTCTGAGGAATTCGCCGGTTCAATGACACCCAATTTATGAAGTCGTTCTAGCTTTTGTCCAACCACTGGGAAGGCAGCATATGGTACAGGTCTCGTAGGTCGAAACACTGGCTTTGATCCCTGCCGAAGGGTAAGAGCAGCGTTAAATTTAGTACATTCTCCAAGGCCCTCACTAAATACCATTTTATGTCGTTTTAATAATGCTTCCACCGAGTTTTTCTCCTCAACTTTCGACGTACTGACTTTGTTACAGATCAAGTTTGTGGGACGGTTTGTTAACTTCAACCTTTCTATCCAATCAAGTTGAATGATGGACGTTCTGTCAAAAATATTACTCCCTTCTCCGTCAACTCTTTGACTGTGACTTCACAATGAATCTCACCAGCAATGTTTAGCACTCTTCCGGATGCACTATGTGCTGATTGATGAGTTAAATATACTCGCGGTCTCCCAATTTTCTCCCACGTTCTTCTGCTTATAAGTGTTATATCGGAAGCTGTGTCTAAATGTAAGCGGGCATTGTACAGATTAATCTTGAGAGAAACATACTTTCTACGGTTATGGGAGTCGGTTTTATGAAGAGCTACCGTTAATTTAGCTGTACATGGCTTGAATCTTTATTCTATAAGATTCGGTTGACGGCGTTTCCGGGTTTTGCAATGACTTACTAGAAGAACTTGGGAACCAAATCCAGACTTCAATTTGCAAAACTTATCAGTATCGACGGAGAATATTACAATGAATATTTCTTTGGAACAGCTAGAAGCCTATACGTAGCGTCAAAAGAAACGGTTTGAACAATCGCAAATCATTATCATGGAAGCCCTTATGCCTGACCCAACATAATCGCGCTTCTGGAGAATTACGTGTATCCAATACTGATTTAGTCGTTAATGCAATCCATGAATTTAATTTTGATCGTGTAGCAGGTGTTAATTTTGACTCTTGGTTCAAGAAATACGAAGATCTGTTTCATATTGATCTCTGCAGACAGGATGACGCCTCAAAAGTCAGAATACTTTTATGAAAACTTACGACGACGGAAAATGAACGCTATAGTAACTTTCAGTCAGTCAATCAGTAACAACATGGAACTTCTTTCGTACGTGCATCAGTTCGAATTGTTATACCATATTAGCACAGAGATGCAGTTGTCGAATCAAATCTCGTAGTAGTAGAGGTAGTGGTAGGGAACAATAGGGTTTGATGAGTATAATCCAGTGGAATAAATTTGGAAAGAGAGTAAAGGACATGAAGAATTCAGAAGATTAGAGTTTGAGAGAACACAAAGAGTGGATGCACCTGCGTCATTTCATTCAAGATCTCTAACCATCGGTTGCTATCATTTTGCGGTCTCCAACCAGGTAGTCTACACCCACCAACATGGCTCAGTCCATTTGTCTGTGACTTCATCGATTTGTCATGTTTTGGTCTGGCCGCCCCTAGCTTTCTTCCAACCTACTCCTACACCGTAAAACATCACACGTCGGGGCAGCCGGTGGTCGGGCATACGTAACACATGTCCCAGCCATGTCAACTGATTAAGTTTCACTACTTCATCAATTGATTTGCCATCCTTACCTAGCACCCGTTTCCTAACAACTGAGTTACTTACTCGGTGGTCCCAGGATATACGAGCAATGCTTCGAAGACATCTATGATCAAATACTAGTAACCTACGAATATCCCCTACTCATACCGGCCATGTTTCACTGCCATAAAGTAGGACGGAACGAACTGCTGCGCAGTAAACACGTCCTTTGGTCGATAGACGGATATCCCGTCTACGCCACAAATGAAGCAAGTTGGAAAAAGCTAGTCGAGCCTTCTGTATCCGTGCTGAGATTTCGTCACACACCAAACCACAAGGGCTGATAAGACTTCCCAGATAAGGGAAGCGGTCGACACGCTCAACTACTTCACTCCCTATCACTAGTTCGGGTGTCGATGCAACCCAATCCTGAAGCAACATTTTCCATTTCGAGGGAGAGAATCGCATGCCGAACATGCCTGCATTGTTGCTTAGAGTGGCCAGCAGACTCTGCATTTTGTCAGCATCTTCACCAAATAGAACTGTCATCGGCATACTCTAAGTCAACAAGTGAATCTCCCGGTAGAAATTCAACCCCTGGAAAGTCAGATGTGGAAAGTGTTATCTCTAAAAGCACATCAACGACAAAGTTAAACAGGAATGGAGAGAGTGGACAGCCCTGACGAACACCACTTGAGGTAATCAGTTCTGATGACAGTTCGCCATAAGCTCTCACTCGACCAGTTGTGTTCGAGTAGAGAGCCTTTATAAGGTTAATGTACTTCTTTGGTACTCCTTTCAGTGACGAACACTGCCATAGAACCTCACGATCAACAGAGTCGAATGCCGCCTTAAGGTTGAGAAATACTGTCATTGTGGGGCGTCTGGATGTGTTTCTATGTTCTAGGACCTGACGTAGTGTGAATATCTGGTCTATACAACCACGTCCAGGTCAGAAACCAGCCTGGTTTTCTCTAGTCTGTTCTTCACGAGCTTTAGTTAGGCGTCGAAGAATTATTAAGCCAATGTTTTAGACACTATATTAGTCAAACTAATTCCTCTGTGACTGTCACAAGAAGATATTTGTCCTTTCTTATAGACTTGCACAATCAGTGATTGAGACCAGTCAGATGGGATTACGTCCAGTTCCCAGATTCTATCTAAGACCTCGGTCAATCTCGCTGCTAATACTGGACGGCCATCCTTAAAAATATCAGGGGTAAACCTGTCAGGGCCTGTTGCTCTCTCACACTTCAGATTTCCTATAGCTTTTTCAACTTCGTAAAGAGTCGGAGGACTTACATTAACTTGCCATTTAGGTAGATCGTGGGAAACCGAAGTGTGGCTGAAGGCCAGTTGAACTGATCCCTAAAGTGTTTTGCCCATCGATCCAATCTCCTGGATTGAGAATGAATAGTATGTCCATCTTCCTCTGAGATTGTTTCGCTAACAGTTGGGTTCCTAATACCGGTTTCCTTAACGAGTCTGAACAGTTGCCTACTGTTACCTATTGCCGCTGGCTTTTCATCTCTCTTGTTTTCGCTACTCACCACTGTTCACGATCACTGCGTAGGCTTCTAGTCAGCTTACGATTAAGCTGACTCCGCTCTTCGTTATGTTCAGAGCCAGATGGAATGAGTTTTCGAGCATCTATCAGTGCGGTAGACGCTGCTGAGATCCAGTGTTTCTCCCTAACCTTATGGTTTACCGTACTTGCAGACATCACTGCTGTTTCTACAGCTTTTCGGATGTCGTTCCACGCTGCCTCGGGGTGGGCATCACTTACATGGCTGCCTAACTGTTTTTCTAGTTGTTCCTCAAATATACTCTTAGCTTGACTATCATTAAGTAGGATCCTAAGGGGTTTCCTTGCACCATCTTTCCTACGTCAAGACGTAGACAAATATGCGCTCGCACTAGAGTATGATCTGAGTCTAAGCATGTGCTCCAGAATGAGCGAGTCTTCTATCGAGCCCCTCCATCGGTGGCTGATAGCGATTTGATCTATTTGGGTCCAACGTTGGGACGAATTACGGGGTCGCCATGTAAAAAGATGTTTTTCCTTATGCTTAAAGTTAGTGTTTGCAAGAAACAGGCGGTCATCTGAGCATAGCTGCAACAGACAGTCGCCATTATCTGTTCTTTGAGCCGCGACACCACAATATTCACCCAGGTGTCTTTACTTTTTGCTTAGTTTACCTAGTTGAACATTAAAGTCACCAGCCACTATTACTACATCTGAACGCCTAGCTTTTCGGAGAAGGTCGGAAAGCTTTCTGTAAAACTCATCTTTTACATTATGTGAGCTGCAGTTAGTGAGAGAGTAGGCAGAGACGACGAACAGGCAACGACGAGTGTCCCTATCTTTCCGAGTCCTTACTGCTCCGTTTAGTCGGACAGCGCACAAACGACTGTCTACTGGAATCCAGTTTAAGAGAGATAGTTCTGCCCTAGGACTCAGTGATATACCAACACCAGCGAAGCCACGGGAAGCAGCATCAGGGCTTCCAGATACACGAAGCGTAAATCGAGTTAGCTCGTTACTTTGACATGGTGAAGTCAAATGAATGACACTACTCGGATCCTGTGTGCGCATTTCGGAGACGCAGCATACATCGATGGATCGAGATTCTAAAGTCCTAGCTAAGGAAGCCTGTTGTTCTATTTGGCAGTGTTCGGACGTTGAAAGATCCTACGTGTAGTTTAGAGCGTGGTTTCAGGAGACCAGGAATAACGTTCCGCGTACACGAATCGTTTGCACTAGCGGGGCGAGGTGATAAAGGTACGTGGGAAGGGTTAGTCGTGAAGATAAGAGAGTTATTAGGAGGTGTAGGAAGGATTTGAATGTGACCAACTTGGTCTCGTGTGCTGTTACGGGTATAAGGGCTGATGTCACTTCCCGGCCGCCCACACCGTGGAAGGGTTCTGCTGGAGGTACCTGAAAAGGAAATTGGATTAGAGGTGATCTTAGCGACCTAAGAGCGTGACCGCAGAGCCCAAGGGACAGCTGCTTGAGGCCGGTTGCGCACGGCCTTTTCGTAGGAGGTTTTTAATGTGTTAGCTCCGTTCTTCAAAAGGCATTACCGCCGGAGACGGAAATCCGTGGGGTAAGGTGAGGTGTGACATTTTTAGGGTCAACCTTTTCTAACCCCTTCCTTTCTTGTGAGAAGGCAGTATCGCTGCAGATGCTGGTTGTTCGAGGGAAACACCTTACTGCTGTCACACATCTGTACAGTGAGCAGTACGACTTCGCCTTCAGACCTTGGGTTTGTTGCTTTTAGTCTTACCGCTCTTCAACCGACCTGTCTGGCATGATAGGACTTTGAGGAACGGTTGTTCCAGCCAGTATAGCTCAGTTGGGTCATCACGATAGGCAAGCCCGACCACCACGTCAAGGTAGCAGCTACGGTCGGGTCCGGATAAACAGTTCAAGTCATGCTTCTCTTTCTATTGAAGACAGAGGGACTTAGCATAAGATGGAACGCCGGAGCTAGTCGCCTTTCTTCATAGTTGAAAAAACCTTTCTCAATTATTTTAATGATTTTAATATCGATTTGGTGGTTATTAAATATACCGTTTACTTTTATTGCCGATTTAACCCGTAGATTATTCAGTTCTACAGGATTATCAGATCTTTTTTATATAAGCTAGACAATAATGAATTTAGATTTTGATGGCAAAACACTGTTTATTAAGATTTCTCTAGCTGATCCTAGAGACATAAATTATTTTTTATGCACGTACAATGGTGCTGTTGAAGTTCGGCCATCGGTTTTTTGATGTGACTACTACAATGTCTTTGTTGTAATTTTTCGGAAGTTTCTATTTGACTACGATAAGATATCAATTTGTTAATTCAACAAATCAAATGACAAATAATTTTTAAAAGGCATCTATTATTATAATGTATGACATGAAATCTCACGAGTTGTTTCATTCATCTTGAATATTAATAATGATATTTAACTTACTGATCGTTATCCGTTAGCTGACACTTTTTCACATCCGGGATACAAGTAACACCTTGTTTTTTAAATTGATAGTCACCAAATGACCGACTAACTTCTAGGACACTATTAACACGACCATTTTGAACAGAAGCTCCGGTGGCTTGAATACGCTGTCGTTCTTCATAATCCATGGGGTTGTGATCTTTCGTTAAACAGATTGCATTCAATTTCGGATTACTTAAAGTATTGCTACCACTGACATCAACGCTATTAGATTCAGATGGGGACTCGACCGATCTGGCTAGGACAACCTAATACCAGCAAAATAAACTGAATAAAAGTATCTCTACATGTTGTATGTATATGACAGTAAATTTAACTGCGAATTGAAAACGCTTGTCAAAAACCCAGCTTCACTTTGTAGTTATTAACTAAATCAGATAATACAGTGCAAATATAGGTTGATTACAATAATAGCACGCTGAATACATTATACTTCGGACAGAATGAATATATTACAGTAATATGAAATGCACACTCAGACATAGAAAATTTTCTAAGGAGTATGTCAATATGAAACATTTCCGTACGACATGTAACGTTTATTTATTTATTTTAACACATATGTATTGGTACAAGGAGGCACCAAATGCATATCCGCCACACGAATCTCAATTGATTTGTGTGAGGGCTGTGATACTGCTCGGGTGCCCAAACCGAAGCAGGTGGTTTTCTTAGGGGGGAACACCCCGAGCCTTCGAAATGAACGTCTGACCCACAAGGCAGTGGAGCATCGTAAGGAGATGCAGTCCCATGGTAGCCGGTGACAAACGATTGGTTCACACGCCATTTGTTCCTTCAGGATACTGGAGCCCATGTGCACCATTGGTTTGGGGTCCGGTTAAAGCGCAGGACATTCGCTTTTCGTCCTCTTATTTTCGTAAACAACACCCCCGCCACGAGAATGCAGTGAGTAGGACTTCTCTGGCAGAGGCTATATACGCGTGGCCATGTGAGAGCATTTCGAAAGGGAGAGCGGACTCTCCCCACTCTCGGCCGTACCAGGGAATTTGGGGGCACGATATGTGACGACCACATGCCGAAGAAGCTGAAACAATAAGATATCTTCGTAACCAAGTACAGCTTGGTAATAAGTTGGGGGGCATTTTTGTGAGGATAAAAGGATTGTTTTGCACATTAATATAAGAGAACTGTACTTCAAATCTGGCTTGTCCCTCACTTAAAGATCAGACACTAATTTTGTGAATTACACAGGCCCAGTAGTGTGGTCAAACAAGAAACGAAGAATAGAAAAAATAATGGTTTCTTTTTTTACAAAAGAGCCTTAATTTTCGCAATGAAGGAAAATGGCATTGCACAACGCATCTTTATACAGTACGTAAGTGACTTCGGGAAATATGATAAAATAGCACTGGAAGATAACGTAACCAGTGAACAATGAGAAAAAAATGTTGAGAGGTAAGTAAATTTAAGGCTTATGTCAGTATTTTGACCAAGTGAATGCAACAAGTCAACTATATTCTATCATTATCTATTATTTATGTAAGAGCACCCTATTCATTTTAACGATAAAAGTGTTTACAGTAAACTCAGAACTTTGTTCTCGGGTTATTTAGTAACAACTACAACTTGACTACCAATAGATTCATGAAATAAAGGAAAAACATACAATCATATCGCAATTCACTGTATTGACTACCTGGTTATTTTTGTTAGCATATCAATGTTGAGATAAAGAAGCATTTACGATTATTCACACGAACAAACATTCCAACGGATACAAACTGTAGAATAGATCTGCATGAAATCTATGCATTCGATAAATATTTGGTGGCGTAATTCCCAAAAGTAGTATTGTTACAGTAAAAAACACATTTTCTCGAAACGTAAATTAGTAGGAAATTTGATGTCGCTTACATGTGAATATTATCATTACTCATAATATATACACTTGAGCCAATACAGAATAAACGGTATCTCCCATAAAAATTTTTATGATCCAATAGTTGGCATTAAAATCGTATTTCGCCTTATACATAGTAGGGAGCGATCATTTACTTTGACGTGATGTAAGGCGAAGTTAGGTTAGATGGAAAAAAGGTAAGAGGAAACACATTTTACTGGTCTGTTACATGATTGACCAGTGGTCCAAGTCATTTCCTTCAGTGTACACTATCTTGGTGGAGTCCCGGCAGTGATGGGAACCAATAACAGGAGACTGTAATTCGCTTCATATAGACATAAATGATTACTCCTTATAAAAGGGACAAGTAGAAATAAACCACAACACTCTCTATCCTACTTGCGAAATACTGTCTGACCACTGAAGTCCCTGGTGGTTAACAGATAACACCTTAACCATAAAAAGTAAACAATGTTACAACAAAGTATCGAACACGACATTAATGCGAAATAAATATGAATTACTTTAGAGTCACCAAGATTTGCAATGTATAGTGTGTTATTGACCAATAGGATTGTTGCTGCTGTACTACCATCTCTCCAGTGAGGGCGCCTGGAAAAATAGAAAGGGGCGCAAAAAAGGTGAATGAAACATAATGGTTGGATTCCTACTGCTGACAAGCCTCTCTCAAAAACTCCTCATCTGTTTTCTTATAAGAGTCGTATAACACACGCTTAATATCCTTTTCTACCTGTTGCATTCCACCTGTTCAGGAGGAAAAAAAATAACGTATAATGACTGACATTTTCAAACAGAGTAATAAATAACATGAAACCTTAAATATAGTGTAAAAGTGATACATTTCAAGACGGATTTATTTTCTATGAAATGATTGCAAAATCCACTACTATGTATATAGCTTTCATGCAATTAATTTTATATATATATATATATATATATATATATATATATATTGAACTGTAGTTATATTTTAGTCCACAAATTCCAGAACAGGAACGCTCGTGTATGTAGGGACTATCATTTGCAGATAAGATTCAATCCTCATATATTTGGTTAAATTCAATTAGAAGTGACCCACATGATTAAATTATAAAAAAGATGGAAGTTTTAATTCCGCTAAATCTAGGATTAGCAGTCAATGTACTCTATTTTCAACTATCGAGTGGAAGATTCGAAATCCTCTTGACCTAATTCTACTTGGCTAGCAGTGTAGTCCGATAAAAGTTAGGATCGATTAGTCACTATATCGGTAAGTTTATGACGAAGTTGAGCGGAAATGGTTGTAGTAAACATTCTTAACTGACGTCGACTGCCGTCAAATTATACTGGACTAAAAAAAACCATTTCCACAACTCTGTTTCCTGATAGCATTTTTAGTAGCAGGATTTACTTGGTATGTAATTCAGATTGGACGCCTCAGGAGGACCACTATAACCGCAAACCAGCCCTACCGAAAAGACCATTGAGTAATATTATAATAATAAAAAGTTACCCCTTTATAAAAGTAACATTTCTGCATAACATAAGAATCTCTAGCATTATGAAACTGTTTAACAATTACAGCCCCCATCTTACCACTATCATTGGCATCATTTGTTTTTTGATGCAGTTCCCAATAACTAGACCCAAAAACAAAGTTTTAAGTGGTTGGAGAATGGGTGACACCAGCTAATTTCCTCTAATTGTCTATGCAATTTTCTGATTTATTTTGTATTTATATTCTGTATATAAGCACGTAATCCTATAATATGAAGAACTGTTCATCCGACTAATGGTCTTTGTTTTGGAGTTCTAATGGTTCATAAGTCAGTTACACGGTCTCCAGTAGCAGTCACCCGATCACTTTATATCGTTGCATCTCGATTAATAGACTTCGGAGATCGAAATCTTACTCCAGACAGAAAACGATCTGCATAAGTTTTATTTTAACGCATGATATTCTTAAACGAATGATTAAATGACCTCAACATAAAATAAAGTAATGAACAATCAAAAAATTATCACCTCGAGGAAATCGCGTAGCTATATGTTGATGTAAACGCTTGCAAGCAAAGTTAGCTGCTTTAGCTCCTCCATGTCCATCGAAAATAGCGAAGTAGCATACTCTAGCTCTGGAAAATAAAACTTAAAACTGAAGTCTATACGATTACATTTCATTGGAGACTCCTCGATACATTAGCTCTACTAAGTTGTCGACCACAATATGAGAATCCTGCATTTCTGGTCTCTCACCTTTTCTGGCGACAACAGAACAAAGATACGGAGTAAGTTCTTGAAACGAATAATTCAGTTTTTTCTCGCAAACAACATACTAACAACAGATTCCGACTCATTCCAACTGGAGTCTCCTCCCAATATTTCAGGTTTCTCTTGGAAATTAATAGTTATATGACTGGAGAATGTGTACTTACGCAGATCATTGCTTTCCACACTTGGCTCGGGGAGATCGTCAAATAAACTCATCTGACTAACTACCGCTAGATTGTTCAAGGTTGAGATGTAAACGCAGGTAATTCAAATGGTTCAAATGGTTCAAATGGTTGCGGACGGAATAGAAGAAGCTTTCGCTTAACAGGCTTCCGTGTCTACTAGCAGTGGATCACCAATACCTCCAGGCAAGAACCTAGGTATATTAACGATAAAAGAGAAAGAAAATGAATTGGTAAATCATAGTAGGATACTATCCTTAGTCCTTAAGAATAGATTAAGTCGCCTCTTAAAGGACTCCCAGGAAGTTGCTTGGACTAGCTCAGCTGGCAGCGAGTTCCAGCATTTGACAACTCTTAAGGAGTAGAAATTGTGTCTGCAGTCCGTTCTACTATGTTGTATCTCCAGTTTTTGGGTGTTACCCCTTAGGTTACTGTTGGGACTAAGCTTAAGTAGGTGTTTAAGAGGGTGTCCAGGTGTGTTAAGGATACTGTAAGCCATTAGAATGTCACCTCTAAGACGCCTATACTCTAATGGGTAAAGGTCGAGTGATTGGAGACGCTCATCGTAAGGTTTAAATTTGAGTCCCCGAACTGATTTCGTGGCTCGCCGTTGGATACGCTCCAGAGTGTCCTTATCCTTTTGGAGTGTAGGAGGGAATACTATGTTCCCGTACTCTAAATGGGGACGAATGAAACTATTGAAGATTATGTGGAAATTTCTCCCGTCAAACTGACCAAAAATGCGCTTCAATGTTACCAGTGCAAGGTTTGCTCTAAAGGCATTTTTGTCACAGTTGGCGTAAGACTTTAAGTCGTAGGGCACCAGAACTCCTAAATCTTTTTCGACTCGGGATACTACTAGAGAGGAGTTTCCTAAGTTGTAACTGTAATCTGCTACGTGTCGCAGAAACGGTACAAACGTTCAACATTGTTGTCAATGTAAAAGAAGCAGCTTTTGTTTAACAAGCTCCTAAACTTTGTAGCAGTTGACTACTGATGCTTTTAGGCGGGAACCTATGTATATTTAACAAAAAAGAGGAATACTGTCCTTAATGCTCAAGAATGTGCCAAGTTTTCTCCTGATGGTCTCCTAGGGAGTTGTCTAAACCCCCAGAGAATAGAGACATCCAGGACGTAGCTACTCATAAACAATACCTACATCTTGGTTTCCTTTGCTTTCCGTGGCATCAAAAAGCTTCTAAAGTAAAAAGTCCTGTGGGTCTTCAATATTGAGGTTTACCTCAATAATTCCGCTGGGTATACTCTAGTTGAAGGCGCTTGACCAAGCATCCACACCAGATCCTAATTATTTAGACAGTGCCATCCACTTCTCGCTATCCAGCCGAGCTTACATACTCATAGGTACATCGACGGCCTTCTAAATATATTGTAGCGGTAAATAAGTCCTCAAAATAAATAGCTCTGTAAGTTTTCGACATTGGATGCCGACCACATTAGTCTTAATAGACTCGTCTAGCTGAAGGCGCTCGGTCAAGCATCCGCACCAGATCACATGTGGGAACGCCGTGTCCAACATCTGCCTCAATCGCTAGTCAGATTAGTTCAAACGATCCTCGATATATTGATAGCTTATCAAATATATCTTCGACCTCCTCGCTTCTGTCTTTTGATTTCACTTGGTGGGTACGCTTCATATTAGAAGATGTTACTGGTTAAAGAGTTGTCAAACTCCGAATACCCTGTGGCATCTTCATCGGTGAGCCCGACGTGATCTGGTACACCAAATTGTAAACTGTGAGTCTGTTCCTCTTTGTGATTTTATATATCATTGTCTTATTTTAATTTTTCATACATTGTGATTTTTTTCCGCGTTTTTTGGATATATATTTCCTACTCGTTCATTTTTCGTACTTGATATATTACTATGACTGAACAGACACCTAAGGTATTTAAGTTAAACACTGTGTCCCCACCTTCGTTCCAACTTATGCCCTTCTGGCCAGACAACATCGAAGCCTGGTTTTGCTACGCAGAAGCCGACTTCTACGAGCACGGTGTGAACGACACACGTGCACAATTCCTCGCAGTAGTCAAGGCACTACCGCGCGAATTCAACAAGTATGTAACACCTAGTATGTTTACTAGTGATGTTTCTGACCCATACAAAACCCTCAAACATGCCATCTTTAAACGCGGAGATCTAACCGATCGACAATGGTTAGACCAACGCCTTAACAACATCCTCGAAATTACTAAATCTTCTAATGCCGAGGTTTTTTCAGTCAAAGAAAAGCCTCAAACCACCCAGAATGACATAACAGAGTTATGTCATACACCTAAGCGTTATCTTAAACTTCGTAACGACCGTAAACGGTCACACATCCCGCGAAGAAGCACATCAGGTAGGCGATCTGACTCTAGTCCTCGAGAGACGGATAATCCTGACTGGTGCTGGTATCATGACTGTTATAAACGCGTAGTTTTGCCGGTTATAGAGCAGCGTATTATCGATCGGAACAGTAACGCATAAAATACAAGCGAGCAGCCTAGAGTCCTGATTGGCCCTGGTTCCCTGTCTAGCCCAGCCAGTTGAGTCCAGAACGCAAGTCTCAGCCTCTGCGATATGAATCGTTATATTTCAAACATACACCGTTTATATACCAAACAAACAGACTACATCGTGCCATAAATAGAAAGTAACATTTGTACAAGATTTAACCTTCAGTAAATGACACAAATAAATATTGACCAATAGGGAGATGACACGTTGGAAGAATATTGACCAATGGGGAAATGACACAATTTCTCATTTAGGAATAGCATTCGATAATTTTTGGGGTATTTTCTGAATGCCCCAACACCTCCCCCTTTTTTGAAGCGTTAGAGATAATAATGATCCTTAGGATTTATTTTTATTCAATTAGGTTTCCGCCTGATGCGCTGCGGCCTTCTTGGGAGTGTTGTATGCGTCTTGTTATTATTCGGGTCATTTTTAATTTCATTATCTGACTCAGTTAATATATTTATTGGTATATTCGACTTTATACAATTTCCTATCTCCCGCTCCTGTCTGGTTGGCCGTATCTGGTTTGCGTGTCGCACCCATATCTTTTGTCCAACTTTTACTCCATAGATAACCTTCCCTTTTTTCCGTATTATGATGCCAAACTTCCAGGTTGGCTTTACTCCTGTGAAATCTCTTGCTATTACAGCTTGTCCCACCTTAAAGCTTCTTGGCAGTGCACCATGCCGCTTGTTGAATTGCTGTTCCTTTCGTTTGTTCTTGCGGAGGTTGGCTGTAGGTTTTGGTTTCATTTGCCCTATAGGTATTCTAATCTTTCTCCCAAAAATTGCTTCTGCTGGACTTTCTTGATTATTTGTTGTTGGGTTGGGTGTTGCTCTGTAGGCTTGTAGAAATCTTTGGATAATCTCTTCTATTTCCCTTCTCCTTCGGCTTTAAGCAGTGCTCTTTTAAACGTATCCACGAATCTCTCGACTAGACCATTGGACTGCGGATGGTATGGGGGTGTCTTTATATGCCTAACGGCGTTGGCGACGCAGAACTTCGAGAACTCGGCGGAGGTAAACTGTGGTCCATTATCAGACACCAGTACATCTGGACACCCAAAGCAGCTGGATACTTGTCTTAGTTTTTCGATAGTAGCTTTTGTCGAAAGAGACTTCATGCAGTGGATCTCTGGACATTTTGAGAAGGCATCAACAATCACCAAGTACTGTTTCCCGTTTATGGGACCTGCGAAATCCACATGTACTCTCGACCACGGATTTACGGTGTCCCCCAACTCTGCATTTTTGTCTTGCGAGGGGCTTTGATAACTTTTGCACACGCGGAACATCTCTCAACATAGTCTTTGATCTGAGCGTCAATATTCGGCCGATATACATACCCACGTGCAAGTGCCTTCATCCGTGCTACCCCTGGGTGTGCAGCATGCAGTTCTGACATCATCTTACGGCGTAAGTTTGAAGGTACAATTACTCGATTTCCAAACATCAAGCACCCATCCACAAGTGACAGAGAATTTCGACGGTGAGAATACTGTTCAATATTTTTGTTGTCTATATGGGTAGGCCAACCATGTTCGAGGTATCCAATAATCTGCTTTAGCTCATCGTCTTCTTGAGTATGGTATTTAATATCTTCAGAGGATAACGGGGTTGCTTTTATAGCAACTTGTAGTATATGATGAATATCATTTTCCAACGATATCGTCGCGATAATAGAATCTTCGCTTTCCTGCTTCCGATTCGCAATTAATCGGGATAGAGCATCAGCTTGTCCAAACTTTTCAGTTGATTTATATAGAATTTGGAAATCATAAGCAAGCAACGTAATAGCCCAGCCTTGTAATCGATTCGCTGTATATGCAGGAATACCTGACTTCGATCCAAATATAGATAAAAGCGGCTTGTGGTCCGTTAAGAGGGTAAATCGACGACCATAAATCATTTTATGGAATTTCTTTACTGCAAAAACTAAAGCTAGTCCTTCCTTCTCAATCTGACTATATTTTCTCTCAACTGAGTTAAGAGTTCGGGATACATGAGCAATTGGCTTTTCTTTACCATCAGGAAAACGATGACTGATAACAGCTCCAATTCCATAGTTTGAAGCTACGGCGGCTACAATTATTTCAAGCTTAGGATTGTAATGAGTCAGCAACAGTTTAGAAGATAAAATCCTTTTTATTTCATCGAAAGAATCTTGACATTCCTTTGTCCAGTTCCATGTTGTATTAGCCATCAAGAGTTGATTTGATGGATGTCGCAATTTATACATATGGGGTACGAACATAATATAATAACCAATCATCCCAAAAAACGAGCGAAGGGTTGTAACCTCAGTCGGTCTGGGCATATTTTTGATGGCATTTATATCGTCTGGATCTGGTCGACGAGCATTTTTATCAAATATATATATCCAAGGTACTTAACAGACTCGAGCAGAAATCCACACTTTTCTTTTTGTAGCTGAAAACCAGCTTGTGATATTTTAGTGAGCACCACATCTAACCGACATAATAATTCCTGCACAGAAGAGCCAACAACTAT